ACACGGCCTCCCTTCTGTCTCTTACTTCCATATGAGCCTGTGAACTCAGGTTGACACTGCTCGGTGGGACCTGTGTCTGTGCTTTCGTTTTGGTGTGTGCAATGTGTGAGTCCTGGGCTTTCTGTCTTCTTTCTGGGCTTGTCTCTCACTTCCCATTTCTCCTGTGTCTGTTTCTTTTCTATCCCCACCCCTTGTGTGTATGTGTGTCTGTGTCTGTCTGTGTGTATGTGTCTCTGTGTGTCTGTGTCTGTGTGTGTGTATGTGTCTGTGGGTCTGTGTGTGTGTATGTGTCTGTGTGTGTCTGGGTCTGTGTGTGTATGTGTCTTTGTGTGTGTATGTGTCTGTGTGTGTGTATGTGTGTGTGTCTGGGTCTGTGTATATCAGGACAACTAGCAGGTATCAGTCCGTTCTCCCACCATGTGATTCCTGGTGGTAGAAAGCTAACTGTCAGGTTTGATGGCAAGTGTAATTACTCAACGAGCCATCTTACTGGCCTACCTTTCTAGGGTTTGTTTGTTTGTTTTTGAGACAAGGTTTCACTATGTAGCCCTGGCTGGAACTCACTGTATAGACCAGGCTGGCCTCAAACTCAAAGAGAGCCGCCTGCTTCTGTCTCCCGAGTGCAGGCATTTAAAGGCGTGTGCCACCATGGCCGCTCTTCCCTTTCTATCTCTGTATCTCTTTGTCTCTGCCCCACCCCTTTTGTCACTAGCCAGCCAAGCAGTCCGGCCAAGGCGGATGTGCGAGGATGATTCAGTAGTGACAGGAAGCCAGCCGCCTTGCCTGCTGCCCGCCAGAGTCTGTGGCATTGGCATCGGCCTGGGCAGGTGTGCCGGCACAGGATGGGGTGGCCATGGTGAGGAGCCCCCACTCTCAGGTAAGCATTTTCCAGGGGGGCCTAGCTGAGCAGGTGTCCCCTGCACCACCCCCCACAAGACCCTTAGTAGCTATGGACAGCGGTGGCTGGGACACCTGATACCTTGTGCCTGGCTGGCGCTTTGGCCCCTTGGGGACAGCCTGTTTCAGGGGCCCCAGGCACCCACCTACCGACCATTGTCTTCCCAAACCCCCAGCCTGTGAGACCCCAGGAAGCCCCTAGGGTGGTTCTGTTACCACCATTGACTGGGGAGGGCCAGCCAAAAGCCAGAAATGAACTCAGTTTCTCCCATTGGTGAAGAGTTAGCTAATGCCACAGGCCTGTGGGTGAATCTGGGATGCCCTAGGGAACTGCCCAGGCCAGGCCCTGTCCCCCAGTCAAGAGGAGGAAGTTGCTGTCCCCAAAAGTCCACCCAAGCCTGACTCAGGTTTGACCTTCTGATGGATAACTCCTGTAGAGTTGCCGGGCTCTTTGATTCTAGCTCTGTGAATAGGTAGCCCGGGTTGGCCAGGTTCCTTCCACCTAGCCTCCACCACCACTGCCACCATTGGCCTGGAAAAGGGTCTGCCAGACCTCTGCACATGGCCATCCCCAGAAACACACACACACACAACCCACCTGGCCCTCCAGCCTCCAATAGGTTTTTCAGAGTTCTCTCTCCACCCTCGTTTGAAGCCCCGAATCCTTGGTCTGTCCAGGTGGAGACTGTGGTACACTCCTGTAATTACAGCACTAGGAATGCTAAGGTGGGGGTATGGGGAGTTCAAAGCCAGCCTGTACTCCAGAATGAGACCCTGTTTCAAAGGGGCATACCACAGAAATATTCAGCAAAACCACAGGCACACGAGTACAGCCATCCCAGGTCTGTGTGATTGGTTGCACTTATCTGAGCAGACCCCTGTGGCTCTCTGCTCCCTGAAGGGTGAGCAGTTGCAGAGTAATCACTAAGGACCGCTGAGGCCGGAGGCTCAGAGGCCACAGTCGGAGACCGGCTCTGTGCAAACCTTGCTCATATGAAAACTGCCCACTTCCCTTTGAGCTATTTTGGCCCACAGAGCCACAGGGCTGTGGCAGTCCCCACACACCCACAGCGAGCCATGTCTGGCCCCTTGGGGCCTTCTGTGACTGCTGGGGAGCCCCTCCCGCAGCCAGCCTCCGGCTCCCTCAGCCCACCTGCTGTCTGTCATTCCGGGTAGAGAGCATGAGCACATGGACTGCAGAGAATTCATGGGACCTTCTCTGGATTTCCATCACTGTTCCTCTTACTGGGATTCTCTCTAGCACAGTATGTACCTCTCTGAACGTCCGTTTGCTCCCTGGGAAGGAAACAGTTAGGCTCAGAGGAATTCCCAACTGAGGAGCTAGCTCCAGACCCATGCATTCACTCCGGCTCTCTTTGTTTTGTCTTTCAATATTTTAACCCATTTTTAATTATTGAATGGATGTGCATGTGCTACAGTGTAGGTCTCACCACCATGTGGGTCCTGGGGATCGAACTCAGATCATCAGACTTGGAGGCAAGCGCCTTTTTACTCATCACCCTCCATCTATTCAACCTTTTTTAAAAATAATTTATTATTTTATGTGCATTGGTGTTTTGCCTACAGGTATGCCTGTGTAAGGGTTCCAGATCCCCTGGAACCAGAGCTATAGACAGTTGTGAGCTGCCATGTAGGTGCTGGGAGTTGAACCCAGGTCCTTTGGAAGAGCAGTCAGCGCTCCTAACTGAGCCATCTCTCCAGCTCCCCCATCCAATTTTATTATCATGTATTATGCATAGATTAGGCTTAGGACATTTGCATACATGTAAATGATGCATTGACCACATTCATCAATTACCTCCTTGGTCCACCACCATTCTCATCGATTCTCGCCCTCTTCCCAACTAATTCCTTTCTGGTATGTTCTTCTTTCAGTTGGGGGTGGGGTCTGGTGGTGACCCGATGAGTTTCATTAGGTTTGCTTTCAGGGTGTGAGGGATTATCTACAGGAGCATGGGCGCCTTACCTCGGAGGAAGATCCCTCCTCCAGCGACCCTTTTGTTACATTTAAAACATTTATGTAAGCTGGCACGTGATGGTACACCCTATAATCCCAGCACTCTGGAGGCAGAGGCAAGCCAGTCTCTGAGTTCCAGGCCAGCCTGGTCTACACAGTGAGTTTCAGGCCAGCCAGGGCTACACAGCGACTCCCTGTCTCAAAAACAAAATGTACATACGTGAGTGTTTTGCTCGCATGAACATGTGTGCATCACATTCATGCCTGGTGCCCGCAAAGACAGGGAGAGGGTTGGATCCCCTGGAACTGGAGTTAGGGGTGGTTTCGAGCTGCCATATGGATGCTGAGAATCAAACCTAGGTCCTCTGGGAGAGCAACCAGTGTTCTTGACCTCTGGTCCATCTCTTCAACACCCCTCCCTCACCCCCGCCCCATCCCCAAGGGTTTTTTCCCCTCAATGCTGGGAATGAAACCCAAAGCCTTGCCAATGCTAGTTAGACATTGGCATATCCCTCACTGGGTAGTTCTAGGCGGGTACTCTACTGTTGAGCCACGCCCCCAACCTCATAATGGTATATTCTAGGCAGTTGATCTATGACTAAGCCATGCCCCTAGGCCATCACTGGGACATTCTAAGCAAACGTCCCACCATACCCCCAACTCTCTATATTTTGAGGCATTCTCACTGGAGTTGAATTTGCAGTACAGCCCAAGTTGACCTTGGGCTTGGCAGTACTCCTGCCTCAGCCTCCTGAGCAGCTAGGATTGCTGGCCTACTCCGCTAGCACAGCTGCTCCATTAGGCCCTCACAGCTCTTCATAATGCTTAGCTCCTCAGACCTGCTGGGGCCAGTGGAGGGAGTCTAGGCCTGTGCCTCTAGACATCCCCAGGCAAGCAGGCCACTGACTGTCCCTTCCCATGTCGTATGGCTAAGAACTGTGACTATGGCTAGAGTCATGGTGGAAAGAACCCACATGGCTGACCCTGCTCTGCAGTCATCACCTCCATGACAGGCCTCATGTGGCAAACTCGGAAGACACGTGCTATTTTCCGTGTGGCTGGTCAGAGTAGATAGATGATGTGACTAACAGTCTCCAGGGCTGAGGGTTTCTGGAGTCCGGGTCATCCCTGGACAGGGTCTAGAATAGAAGCCAGTGGGCTCTCTGCTGGCCAAGGCCTCCTGGATGGAGGATGGTCCAGCTTCCAAAAGCTTGGGAACCCTTGAAAAGGAAACAGAAGTCAGCAGGCCAGCTCCTGGGACCTTGAATGCCAAGCCAAAAATGTGGGCTTGCTCTTGGGGTCCTAAGTGGACTGAGGTGGGCAAGTGTGAGTTACATGTAGCCTGCTGGTGTGCTACTTCCAAGTCTCCTCTTTTCCTCAAGACAGAGCCTACCTCCTCTCTGTCTGCCCCTCCCCCGTGTGTGTGTGTGTGTGTGTGTGTGTGTGTGGTGTGTGTGTGTGGTGTGTGTGTGTGTGTGTGTATGTGTGTGGGTGGGTGTGTGGTGTGTGTGTGGTGTGTGTGTGTGGTGTGTGTGTGTGTGTGTGTATGTGTGTGGGTGGGTGTGTGGTGTGTGTGTGTGTGTGTGTGTGTGTGTGTGTGTGTGTGTGTGTGTACACATATACCACTCTCCTTTGTTGTTTGTTTTTCGAGACAAGGTTTCTCTGTGACTTTGGAGGCTGTCCTGGAACTAGCTCTTGTAGACCAGTCTGGCCTCAACCTCTGCCTCCTGAGTGCTGGGATTAAAGGCGTTTGACACCACTGTCCTACTACTACTCTCTTTAAAAAAAATATACAGAGAAACCCTGTCTTGAAAAACCAAAAAAAATTTTTTTAATTTTTATTATTTATTTGGCTGATTGGTTTGGCTTTTTGAGACAGGGTTTCTTTGTGTAGCATTAGCTGTCCTAGAACTCACTCTGTAGACCAGGCTGGCCTCAAACTCACAGAGATCTGTCTGACTTTGCCTCCCAAGTGCTGGGGTTAAAGGTGTGCACCACCACCGCCTGGCTACAATTTACTCATTTTGTGTATATGGGCGCTCTATCTGCACGTGTGCCTTTATGCCAGAAGAGGCATAGATCCCACTAGAGGTGGTTGTGAGCCACCAAGTGGTTGCTGGGAATTGAACTCAGGACCTCTGGAAGAGCAACCACTGAGCCATTTCTCCAGCCCCCGGCACTAATTTTGAAGTGCTACAGTATGTACCATATGCTCAGTTTATGAGTCTCTTTGATAGACAAAGTCAGTATTCGTCAGTATTCCAACAAAGGCCGCATTCCAAACTCCTCACTGGGGAATTCTGGGCAGGGAGTCTACAGGTGAGCCACGCCTTCTCTAGTTGGAAGTGGGACCAAACAGAGTGGCCACTTAGTGGCTCCCTCAACTGTGTCCCTTGCCCACGCCAAGGAGCTGAGTCTCCTCAGAGCTGGGATAGATGGTTTTATAAGTCTGTTAGAACGGTTGTACTCCCCTCATTACCAGACTGTGGACTTTCACCAAGGCTGGGACAGCCAGTCTTCACAAGGCCCTGGACTAACAGGGTTCAAAGCCTCTTCACCCCACACATCCTCTCCACAGCTCCACCTCCTCCTTTGTCTCCTAAAGGACCAGCCTCACTCTTCAGGTCCTCAAGCCCGGTCCCTCAGCTGGAAACCCTTCCCTGAATTGTACTGACTGGCCTTGAATTCAGAGCTTTGTCTTTGTCTCCTGAGTGCAGGATTAAAGGCACACAAGCACTCTTAACCGCTGAGCTATCTCTCCAGCCTCTTCACCTTGTTTTTGTCTTAGCCCAGGCTAGCCTAAGACTCACTGTGTTGTCTCAGCTTGACTTGAGACTAGTTGCAGTTCTCCTGCTTCTCCAGAGTTGCTGAGATTACAGGTGTGAGCCCCTATGCAAGGTCCTGGACTGAGCACCATGTTCGAGCCCTCCCTTTCCACATAGCATCTGGGGGGGGCGAGGGCTTCCCAGTCTTAGCTTCTCCACCTGGGAATTACGGAGCCTGTCTCTCAGGGCCAGCTGGGTTGGGAATATGTGCTTAAGGTTGTTCAATTTCTTAGTGTTGCCTAGTGATCTCAGAACCTTCTGGCACACATGATCTGGTGGTCAGTGCGCTAGCTAGTTAGGATCACATGGGAGACGTGGTTGGTTCAGTCCAGGAGTAGGCCGTTCCACTGTTGTTGGAGCTAGGAATCAGAGAGATCAGAAATGGGGCAGGGCAGCTGCTGGGACCACTGGCTCACAGATCTCCAATGCAGCTTGCAGCCCCCTCGCCAAGCCAACATGAGTGCCGAGTTGGAGCTACTGTGGCCATTGTCAGTCCCTCTGCTGCTGCTGTTGGGGGCCACAGCCTGGTTGTGTGTCCACTGTTCCCGCCCAGGTAAGTGTCACACGGACAGGGAGTGTGTCCCAGAGGCCATTAGCGGGAGGGGCAGGAGGATGAGAACCCAGAATCCAGCTGGTGGCCCGGTCTGGTGAAGGCTGGTTCTGCTGGACCATGGGGGCTGTTCAGGCCAGGGAACCACTCTGGAGGAGAGAAGGGAGACTAGCTACCCGTGGCACCCTCCACGATATCCTCACCCACAAAACGGGATCAAGTACCTTTCCTTCCTTCCCTCCCCCTTTCCTTCCTACCCCCACCGTGCTCCAGCTCTCTTCCCCTCCCTCCCTTCTTTCTTCATTTCTTCCTTCCATTTCCTTCTTTCTCTTTCACTTAGCTCGGGCTAGCCTCAAGCGTTCCCACCCTCCTGCCTCTGCTTCCTGAGTGTTGGGATCACAGGCATGTGTCACCACACCCAGCTGATAAGAACCATGTCAAGGACAGGCGGTCACGAGGGACTTACCAAGGGCCTGGCAGAGTTACAAAGAGGGGAGTCCCAGCCTTAGGTTTCCCCCACCCCGCACCTGGAGCTCAGAAACTCTTGCTATGCCATTTCTGTTCTTGCAGGGGTGAAGAGAAAAGAGAAGATCTATGAGCAGAGGAACCGGTAAGTTGCCCCAGCTTGCCATTCCCCCACTCATGCCTGCTCAATGGGTACCTAGCATTCAGGGGAGGGAACGAGAGAGTCCAGGGCTGTCTGAAGGAATGTGCCATCACCTGGCGGTGGTAGCGGGGAGAACCTGGGCACTGGGCACTTGAGAGGTTGGGCACCTGCTGTCACCCCAGATATTCCAGAAGCTGCCTGGGCCAGAGGGAGTTCAGCCTGGCCATTCAGTGAGACCTTGCCTTAAAATGTGTAAGTAGGGGGCTGCAAGATGAGTAACAGTGACTGACATACAAGCCTGGTGATCTGAGTTCAATCCCTGGGACTCACTCTGAAAAGAGTTTAAGGACTCCCGAAAATTGTCCTCTGGCCTCCATCTGCACCATAACAAACACAAGAAATAATAACGATATTAATAATAGCTTTGGCTGTCCTGGAATTGGCTCTCGTAGATCAGGCTGGTCTTGAACTCACAGAGATCCTCCTGCCTCTGCCTCCTGAGTTCTGGGATTAAAGGTGTGCGCCACCACTGCCCAGCTCCAAATAAACTTTTTAAATTGAAAAGCAGACTGGAGGGCTGGAGGGATGGCTCAGCGGTTAAAAGCACTGACTGTTCTTTCAGAGGTCCTGAGTTCAATTCCCGGCAACCACATGGTGGCTCACAACCACCTTGAATGAGATCTGGTGCCTTCCACTGGCATGCAGGCAGAAGACTGTATACATAATTAATAAATAAAATTATAAAAAAGAAAAATATTTAAAAAAGAAAAAGAAAAGAAAAGCAGACTGGTGAGATGGCTTAGTGGTTAATAGCACTGGCTGCTCTTCCAGAGGACCTGGGTTTGATCCCCAGCACCCACATGGCTCACAGTGTTAGGTCCAGGAGATCCAGTGTCCTCTTCTGATGTCCTCAGGCACCAGGCATGCACATGGTGGACAGACACATGGTGGACAGACACACACATGGTGGACAGACACACACGGGTAAAACACCTACACATTTAACAAAAATAACTTTTAAAGGGGGGGGAACATTGCCTAGACTCCCCAGTGAATGTGGCTGGGTGTGTGGCTGTGTGTGTGCAGTGCTTGCTGAGTATGCTCAGAGTCCTGAGTTCAATGCCCAACACAAACAGAAAGACAAGGAGCAGTGGTGGCGCGCGCCTTTAATCCCAGAACTCAGGAGGCAGAGGCAGGAGGATCTCTGTGTTCTAAGCTAGCCTGGTCTACAGAGTGAGTTCCAGGCCAGTCAGGCCTACGGAGTGAGACCAATTACAAAAAAGGAAAAAGAGGGAGGGAGGGAAAGGAGGAAGGGAGGAAGGAAGGAAGGAAGGAAGGAAGGAAGGAAGGAAGGAAGGAAGGAAGGAAGGAAGGAAGGAAGGAAGGAAGGAAGGAAAGAAAGAAGGAAGGAGAGACGGGGAGGGAACCAGCTAATCACACTCTACTCCTCTCTGCTGCATGCACACACACACTCACACACTCACAGCACAGCCTTCGCATGCACACCTCAGTAGGCACTGTCACTCGCACACTCACACATACATATACACACACACATACACACTTCCTCATTTCCCTTTGCAACTGAAAAACCACAGAGATCTGAAAATGAAGTCCTCTATCTCTGACCACACTGGGCCGCAATAAAGCCTGCTTGTGTGTTTTTAGTTTTTGGTTCTGAGACAGGGTCTTACTCTTCAGCACTGGCTAACACAGAACTTACTTTATAGCCCAGGCTGGCCTCAAACTCCCATTGATCCTCCTGCCGTGAGTACCGGGAATCCAGGCAGGTGCAGTCACATTCCCAGGCCCAGCTCCTGCCTCTTCTCTGTGTCCCTTGTCCTTGTCTGTCCCTCTGCCCTCTATGTTCAAAGACCAGCTCAGCACACCCTTGTGTATTCACAGGCAAGAAGATGAAGAGAGCTTTACCGTGACTCAGACCTACTCCTGTGAGTCCTGATGCTTCCTGGCTTTGGTTCAGGGCTGGGACTTCCCATATCAAGGTCCTTTGTGTGTCCCTTGCCCTGAGGCCAGCCTGGTACAGTGGGTGAAGACTTAGCTGGGTGAGTGCCTACCAATACCCTGTCCCTGCTTCCCTCCGAAAGTGGCCAGGCCAGTATGGCCAGGATCCCTGATGGACACAGCCTCGGACAAGTCACTGGAAAGGTAGGAAGGTGTTCTGTAGTGCATGGTCTTCCCAGGGCCCAGACCCGGAGAACCCCAAGCTGCAGTCTCAGAGCTGCCCAGGGGACTGTCCCCTCCCCAGGGCACCGCCTCAGACCCCCTTGCCCCATCCTTGCAGGAAGAACAAGCTGCTGTTCTCTCACGGCGAAGGTGAGTGACGCCAGGCAGGGACAAGCCCGAGTGGGGTTGGGACAGTGGGACTTGGGAGGCCTTTCAGGGAGGGCTGAGCCTGGGGTCGGTGAAATTGGCGTGGAGAAGGCACATGCTTGTAGCAGGCTGTGTATAAAGGTATGACTGTTCAAAGCCCCTGGTCCCTTGCTACAGAGCCTGGGTTGGGCTGGGGCAGGACCTGGAGGCAGACAGCTTAGTCTTTCTTCCAGGTCCTGAGTCCCTTAGGTACCAGAACTTCTACAAAGGTGGGTAGCTCTGGGGGAGGGAGGGAATGGGCCACAGCCTGGGAGCTTAGCCTGCCTTAACTGTCCTATGTGGCCTCTTCCAGGAAGCAGACATGGGCCTGACGCTGCCTACGTGTAAGTGGCCCTCATACAAGCCTGCTCTCTGCCCACCCTGTTTTCTGGGTCTCTCATGCCGAGCTTCTTTATCTGCGGGTCACTCAGTGAGGGCACATCTCTGGGTAGCCTTTTCAGTTTGCTGACCATGGCCTCATGGGGCCTGGCGTGCGGCTCTGCTGGAAGGAGGGGTATCCGGTGGGGGGTGGGTACTCATCCTGCCATTTGGTGAAAGGCCAGTTACAAAGTAGACATGGTGGCCCAGGTCTGTCATTTCAGCACTCAAGAGGAGGTTGAGACAGGGGGATCAAAGCCAGTGTGGGCTACAGTATTGAGATGTTCTCTCCCCAGAAAAAGGGCTGGGGTTCAGTTGGTGGAGCCCTGGGTTCCATCGCCAGCACTGTATAAACTTGGTGTGGTGGCATGTGCCTGTAACGCCAGCCCTGGGGAAGGAGACCGTTCAAGGTCATCCTGCTCCAAGTAGTGAGTCTGAGATCTGCCTGAGAACAGAGACATTGTTTCAACAGGGTAGGGGGTGGTAGCCAGCTACCCCAGTCCGTGAAGGTGAGTTCCACCCATCTCCCCACCCCACCCCCACCCCAAGAACCCACATGGTGAAAGGAGAGAAGTAATGTAAGTTTAGAAAGAGAGAAGGAAGGAGAGCAGTAGGTGATAGGACAGACAGACAGACAGACAGATACCAAGGGGCGGGGGTCATGGTGGTACAAGTCTGTCCTCCCAGCCATCCCAGTACTTGGGAGGCTGAGGCAGAAGGATCTGACTCAGGGCCACCCCCCAAAAGAAATGACCCCCAGCAGGGTCTCCTCATGTCACGAATGGGGAGAACTGAGGCCGAGGTGGGGCCTTGTTGAAGGTGTCCTCTCCAGGCTGACAGCCCTCTAGCCCGAGGGGAGCCAGAGTGGATGGGGAGGAGACCCCATGACTTCTCCTGACAGGCCTGCTCAGCAACCCGCTCTCTGATTTCTTGTCCAGAGATCCCATCCCCACGGACTACTACAATTGGGGATGTTCCCAGAAGCTCCCAGAAGGTAGGTGGGGGCTGGGGGGGAGGATGTAGGGGAGGAGGCAGCCCCTAGTTCGGGGTGGGGTGGGGTCTGTTGAGCCGTGGCAGGAGGGAGGAGGACTGCAGGCCCAGGTGGGTGGGGCGGAAGGAAGCTGGTCAGCGTGCACGCAGAGGATGGGGACAGTGGCGAGAGTGAGGGACAGGACAGGAAGCAGAGGTGGAGCTGTGGGTGGGAACATCTGAGGGGAGCAGCTCGCTGTCATCTGGGGCCGGGCAGACACAGATGGGCGCTGACGACAGATAAGCCCGGGCAGGCGGGCTTGAGGATGCTGGAACCTTTGGTCATGACCACTTCTGCTTTACAGAGGGGAGTAAGGGGGAGGGGCAGAGCCTGTGGGGGAGCAGGGCCTTTAGCTGGGGTCCTCCCCTGGTCCTGGCAGTCATTCAAGGCTGCCCCTCCCCTCCCTTCCACTTTCTTCTCCCCCTCCTTTATTTTTTTAAACATATTTAAAACATTTGTTTATTGTGAGGGTGTGGTGACACGCACGTGGAACTCTTAGGCCGGCTCGTAGGAGTCAGTGCTCTTTAACTATGTGGGTCCAGGGGAGGGAACTCAGCAAGTGCCTTTTCTTGACCTTTACTCTTATTTTGTAATAAAGGTCTCCTGCCAGGCATGAAGGCCTTTAATCCCAGCACTCAGATCTTTGTGAGTTCAAGGCCAGCATAGTCTTTATAGCAAGTTCTAGGACAAACAGGGCTACATAGGGAGATATTGTCTCAAAACAAAACAAGACCACCAGGACCACCAACAACAAACAAGATAGTTCCCACACATGCACCGGCACCAGCGTACACACAAACAAACAACGGCCACAGGAAAACTGGTCTAAGCGGATGGAGAAACCCTGAAGGCCAGGGGGAGAGCGTGGTGGGCCTGCAGGGAGAACGGGGAAGGGACACAGGCTTGCAGGCAGGGTTCTTCAGCGGTCTCCTGTCAGCTCCCTTCTGTTGACAGACGATGATTCCAACTCCTATGAGAACGTGCTCATCTGCAAGCCCACCGCCCCTGACTCAGGTAAGGCTGTCACCCCCAAGAGAGGCAGGGCAAGGACCAGCACCCTCATGAATAAGATGTGAGTTCCCAAGACTCAGCCCTTGCCTGCATTCTCCATGTCTCTGGCGTCTTTGAGTCAAGTTTACCCAGTGGAAGAGCCATCCAGGGGATTACCCTCTCTCTCTGGGGTCATCCTCAGCGGAAGCAGGCTGCCCCTGGCTCCCTGGACCTACTTGGAGTGTCCCTATATACTCCCTTAGGTGGCGAGGAATCTGAGGATTACCAGAACTCAGTATCCATCCGAGAGTGGCGAGAATCCAGGAGGACTGTGGGTTTGTCCCCCATGGGCAGAGGCCACCAGGAAGGTGCGTGTGTGTGTGAGAGAGAGAGAGAGAGAGTGTGTGTGTGAGAGAGAGTGTGTGTGTGTGTGTGTGTGTGTGGTGGGGAGTGTGTGTGTGTGGTGGGGGAGTTTGTGTGTGTGTGTGTGTGTGAGTGTGTGTGTGGTGGGGGAGTTTGTGTGAGTGTGTGTGTGAGTGTGTGTGTGAGTGTGTGTGTGAGTGTGAGTGTGTGTGTGTGTGTGAGTGTGTGTGTGTGTGTGTGTGTGGTGGGGAGTGTGTGTGTGTGGTGGGGGAGTTTGTGTGTGTGTGTGTGTGTGAGTGTGTGTGTGTGGTGGGGGAGTTTGTGTGAGCGTGTGTGTGTGAGTGTGTGTGTGAGTGTGTGTGTGAGTGTGAGTGTGTGTGTATGTGTGTGTTGGGAGGGGAGTGGTATCAACTCAGGCAGGTGGCTGGCTGGTCCGTGAGGGCCGGCCTGGGCGGTTCCCCTCCAGCCAATCTGACTGACTTCACAGTACCCGAAGCTGTAGAAGCTTTGCATTTTACCAGAGCTTCGAGGCAGCAGCTTGACTTCCAGGAGAGCTGGTCACCCAGTCTGGAGGATTTCTGCAAACACAGTAGTGTAGCAGATAGCCCTGGCTGGGGAACTACTGGTCTGGTGTATGCCTGTGAAGTGTCCCAGCCACCGCCTGTCCTGATCCATAGGTGCACAAGCGTCGCCATCAGGAAGCCCAGATGAGGAGCCAGATTATGTGAATGGGGATGTGGCCGCCCGCGGCTGAGACACCTAGGAGAGGCTCAAAGGAAGGAAGGTACGGCACCCTCTGGCTGCTCTGAGAGTTAGCAGCCCAGGTCAAGGAAGGGCCCTGTGCCGGGAAGGAGCCTCATACAGTGACAGATAGCCCATGGGTGCTCATCAGCCATTAGGACCAGCAGGGAGATGCTTACCGAAGCCCACTGGTTCCTTCTGTGGGACTGGGGCATCCAGAAGAGTTGGGTTCACCCAGGTGACAGACGGACACATACCTGCGGTCAGGAGCACTGGAGATGCCTCAGAAGAGGAGCACTTACCCTACAGTCCACCAGTGGGGCTTGGAGGCACGGCTTGGCCGTAGAGTGATTGTCTGGTATACGTGAAGTCCTGGGTTCCATCTTCAGCACTGAAAAACAAAACAAGAAACTAAAAAATTAAAATGTAAATGGTGCACGCCTTTAATCCCAGCACTCGGGAGGCAGAGGCAGGCGGATCTCTGAGTTTGAGGCCAGCCTGGTCTACAGAATGAGTTCCAGGACAGCCTCCAAAGCAAACAGAGAAATCCTGTCTTGAAAAAACAAAACAAAGCAAATAAACAAACAAAAAACACCCCCAAAAACAACAAAAAAGTAAAATGAAGAAGCCAGGCATGGTGACACACGACTCTGCCTCCTAAGTGCCTGGGATCTCAGCATTTAGGAGGGGAGGCAAGAAGATCAGGAGTTCAAAATCAGCTTGCTCCACGACTTTGGAGCCACAGAGATCTGGTCTTAAACAACAGAACTTGAGAGATGGCTCAGCGTAAGCATGGGATATGAGTTGAGATCCTCAGCACACACCTGTCATCTGGTGCTGAGGAGGCCGATCTCAGGGCTCATTGACCAGCCAGCCTAGCAGAAACAATGAGCACTAGGGGGACAATGGTACAGGAAGATATTAAAAATTGACTTCAGGCTCCATGCCGACATGCACCTGCACACACAGGTGCACACACATGTACGTGCACACATAAACACACACACAGGAATGGAAAGATGGAAAAAGAAATCAGCTAGACAATAAAGTAGATAACATGCCGGGCTGTGGTGGCGCATGCCTTAATCCCAGCACTCAGGAAGCAGAGGGAGGCAGATGTCTGTGAGTTCAATCAAGACCAGCCTGGTCTGCAAAGCTACATAGAAAAACCCTGTCTTGGAAAAAAAATTGAAAAATTCAATATACCAGACATGGTGGTCCATACCTTTTTTGTTTTTTTGTTTTTTAAAGACAGGGTTTCTCTGTGTAATCCTGGCTGTCCTGGAACTTACTCTGTAGACCAGGATAGCCTGGAACTCATAGAGATCAGTCGTCTCTACCTCCCAAGAGCTGGGATTAAATGTGAATGCCACCACTGCCTGGCTGTGGCACACACCTTTAATCCCGACACTCAGGAGGCAGAGGTAGGAGGATCTCTGAGTTCCAGGCTATCCTGGTCTACAAAGCGAGACCCTGTCTCAAAAAAATCCCCAGACCAAAAATATAGTATGTTCCCTGGAGTTAGTCTTGGTGATAAGCAGATAGGGACGGGGTTGTTATTTGGGATGAGGTGAGGGGACTGGGGTGCTCTCTGCCTCCTCACTGGGAAGAACATCCCGGAAGAGCAAGTGGGAGGCGGGACATTGGAAAGGTTGGAGTTCAGCCAGCTAGAGACAGCACTGGACTTCTTGACTGACATAGGAGGGACAGTGAGTCTGGGTCCTGTTCCCTTCTTCCTCCTACCTTCCCCTGTGGAATGCTGGTACATGGCTAACTTTGTTTTGTTGAGACAGGTTCTCACTATGTAACCTTGGCTAGCCTGAGACTTGATATGTAGATCAGGCTGGCCCTGAACTCGCACAGATCCTCCTGTCTCTACCTCCTGAGTGCCGGGAGGTATTACCACCATGCTTGTGGTTTTATGTGGGTTCTGGAAGTTGAATTCAGGTCCTCACACTTGTGTAACAAGTGTTTTACTGAGACATCTCTCAAGCCCCCAAGCTTTGTCTCATAGCTAACTCTTCTCTGTTGAAGGATCTGAGGGGGACCATGAGCTGAAGTTCACTGCCTGCTGAAACCTACTTTCCAGGGATTCTCAGCTTTCGACCTGGCTGCGGCTGCTCCTGGGAGGGGTTCCAGAATGCCCCAACACAGCCTGGGAGACAATGGAACTGGCCAGGCTGCAACATTCAAGCAATGCCCTGGACTTCTTTGGGAGCAAAGCAGGTGCCTGGGACATTGGCTGTGGTGACCAGAAGCCCAGGACCGGAGGCAAGCTATGTCCTGGTACCACATTTAAAATATGGCATAACACTGGAATTTGTCCTTTTTTAGAAAAACAAATGAAATAAGGTCTCATTAAATTGCTCAGGCTGATCTCAAACTGGCAATCCTCCAGCTTCAGCCGTAGTGCTGGTATCTCAGGGTGGATCACTACACCTGACCTTGTTTCTTTTTCCTCGTTTGGACCTCAGATTGCCTATGAACGTTGATTTCTGGGAATTGTTACATGACTGTTTCTGTAGTTGACTTTAACTGTTGGAACCATATTTAATATTGTCAATGTCAGGGGCACTTCCTGTCTGAGAGCATTACACATATTAGCTTTAACAGATGAGTGGGGTGTAGGGTCACCTCAGGTCTCTCCTTGTTCTCTTAGTGGGCTCCAATTTGCTCAGGTCTTCCATTCCTGCAGGGACCCTGTGGGGCTGTGATAGGGAGAGAAAAGTGGCCTCAGCAGCCATCAGTAAACCCTGAGTTCCCCAGCAGGAACTGCCATGTCTGCTTTAGTTTAACTTTGGTGTCCGTAGGGCTAAGCGTCTGTCTCCCTGTTCCCTCCATTCTTTCTTTAAAAATGTACGTCATACTGTATAGCCCTGGCTGGCCAGGAACTTGCTATATAAATCAGACTGGCCTTGAGATCTGTTGGAATCTGCTTCCTGGGTATTGGAAGTAAAGGCACCACCCCACCAGGCCTCAGTTTGAAGTGTGTTTGAGTATATTCCACCTGTGTGGGTGCCTGCAGGGTGCTGAACACTTGAAACTTCAATTACTGACCTTTGTCAGCTGCCCCATGGAATGCTGGGAGCCCAACTAGGGTCCTCTGGAACCTAGTGCATGCTCAACTGCTGAGCCTCACCTCCTTTGTTTGTGTGTCACGGAACTTGGCTTCGCTGCTGCCGGTGGCTCTTCCTTGGTTCCGTGGATTATTATTATCGGGCTCTCTGGATCCTCATGCTAGCATAGCAACCACTCTATTCCCCGAGCCCCCCCCCTTTTTCTTTAGTGGTAGGCGTGGTCAGAGGACAGCTCTGTGACTGTCCTCTGGGCTCCAGGGACAAAACTCAGATCGACAGGCTTGTGTGACAAGTGCCTTTACCAGCTGAGTCGCCTTGCCAGAACCCTTTTGTCATTTGGGGCTCACTCTGCACCCCAGGCTGGCTGGCACTGATCATGGCTATCCTTTGCCTCAGCATCCTGGGCGCTGGGATTATAGGCCCGTGTGTGCCACCATGTCAGGCTCTGGTAAAGACCTTTGCCAGAAACGAAGATCAAGGTTCTTTTTGTTTTGTTTTCTGAGAGAGTTTCTCTGTGTAGCCTTGGCTGTTGAGGAACTTCCTCTGTAGCCCTGGCTGGTCTCGAACTCACAGAGATCCTCCTGATTCCACCTCCTAAATGCTGGGGTTAAAGGTGTGTGCCATCACTGCCTGGCTTAAGATCAAGGCTCTTACTCAGTAGAGAGGGCCCTGAAGTCCAGAGAGGACCGGGCTGTGCTCTACATGTCCAGCCCCGGGGCATCACAAATTCAGAGAGGAGATAAATGTCACAAGTTAGTATATTAGAAGAAACAACTAAAACCGAATTGTTAGACAGCACAAGAGGGTCTTATGTTTTCCAGCCTGGCCTGAACTCACTGTTAACAGGGGCTAATTTGAACTTAGCTTAAGTGCTTCGCATTATAGGTTTGTGGCACTGGGGAGACAGCTAGGCAGTTCTGGCTGCTCTTGAGAGGCCCTAGGTTCATTCCCAGCACCCACATGGAGGTTCACAACTATATGCAACTCCAGTCCCAACGGATTCAATGCCCTCTTCTGGTCTTCTCAGGTACTGCATGCACAGGCAAAACACCCACACACATAAAGATCAAAACCAAAACTCATACACATTAAATAATTTTAAACAATTATGGTGTGTGCTACTGTACCTGGCTTCATTTCTTAAATTTATTTTTATAATTTTACTTATTATTGTGTGTGCATGTATGCAGGGCCCAGGAGACATCTTTTTTTGAGACAAGTTTATGTAGTTTCTATGTAGTCCTGAACCACGTAGAACAAGCTGGCCTTGAACTCCAGAGATCCGCCTGCCTCTGCCTCCCAAGTGCTGGGATTAAAGGTGTATGCCACCACACCTGGCTGCCTACAGAACATCTTTGTGGAGTGAGTTCTCTTCTGCTTTCTTGTGGGCTCAGGAGACGGGACTCAGGTGGACAAGAACTTTACCAGTGCCTTCATCTGCTGCGTTCTCGCTGGTCACAGGGCACTGTTTCTACTAGCAGGATATAACAGGCAGAATACTGGTTTTCCTCAAGGCCTCACGGGATTAAGCATTGCAAGACAAACATCCTAAGCTTTATCAGCTACAAGCGCAAGACTGAGGAGACTGGGGCCTTCCCACCCTGCCCCACATCCAGGGCCCGAAGCTGAACTCAAATATGAAGAGCTGAAGAGCACTGGCAGCAGCGTGGAAACCCTCTGGAGCTCAGCCACACAGCTGGCAGTGCCTGCCTGACGTGCACAAGCCCCGGATCCCATCCCCAGCGCCGCATAACCAGGCGTGGGGACAACTGCAACCCAACACTCAGGAGGCAGAGTTAGAGGATCAGCAGGTCAGGGCCACGCAGTGCTGCAGAGTTCAGTCAGCTGGGGCTACAGGAGACCCTGTTGTCCCAGAACAGAGTGGGCACGTTCCAACGGTGTCTTGGCACTCTCCCACGACTGCAAAGTTGGATCATCAGTGTCTCGGTGACAATCAGTGGAGGACATCTCAACTGGCCACTGGAGCCATGGTCTTCTGACAGAGCCTGGCCAGGAGCCCGGCCATCTGCAGCAGCGAGTTCACACCTTCAGCCACCTTCATGTGAGTGTACCCAATCTCCTGAAACAAAGGAAGGACAGGGGGAAGCTGGGACTGTTGGCTCCTTTCCACCTAAACCGGGGGTTGGTTTAACAGATACAATGAGAGACACCTGGCTGCACTCAGGTTCAGCTCACGCAGTAGAAGGTGTCCAGGCTTAGGAGCAAACCCAGAGCCCTCTCTAGGGTCTCACATAGCCCAGGCTGGAGCTGAGGACAGCCCTGAGCTTCTGCCTCTACCTCCAGGGTGTGGAACATAGGCAGGCAAAAGACAGCCAGTTACTTTTGCTGTCGTCTGAAAACAAAGTCTCACTGAGCAGGACTGAAGGCGTGCACCGCATACCTAGCAGCACCCATTTTACACCCAGGGCTTTGCATGGTTCCAACTGAGCCAACCCTGTTTTTGTCAAGATAGGATTTTCCCAGGTAACAGCCCTGGCTGTCCTGGAACGCACCGTGTAAGACCAGGCTGGCCTTCAATTCAGAGATCTGTCTGCCTCTACCTCCCCAGGGCTGGGGTTGAAGGTGTGCGCCATCACTGTCCAGCCACAGTCAAATTCTTTAAAGTTAAACACACACTTGTCTAAGTCGGTGGTCTCACCAACAAGAACTTGGTTAGCAGACACGCTGTTTCATGTGTGCCAATGTGGAGACTTTAGCCACAGAACCCCAAATGCCCTTCCCAGAGAACGAGTGACCATGACTGACACAGCACACAGCTGGGAGAATACTGTGCAGTGATAAGGCCAGGCCGCGGACACGTGACCCAGCAGATCTGGAAGGCGCTGTGCACAGTGAAGAACCATAAAAGCCGTGTGGCGGACGCCTGTAACCCAGCTTGGCTACACTAAGGCCTTGTCTAAAAACAGAGCGAGTTCCAGGACAGCCTCCAAAGCCACAGAGAAACCCGGTCTCGAAAAACCAAACCAAAGCAAAAGTGCACAAGGTATTCCTGAGCTCTGACTAACCTTGATGAACTCCAGTTTCAAGTATTCGGCCATAGGGAAGGTTTTACACACTCGGAAAATGTTGCCAATGATATCTTCTGGTGAGTAGCCCAGGTGCCATAGGTGAGCAAGAATCTAGACGAAAAGACCCAACAGACCCTCAACAGCATGGCAACAGCTTGGCCAGGTGATCCATGAGGCTTTGAGGTCACCTGGACCTTACAGAGGTGCTGGTGGGCCCCTCGGATGCCTCGTGTCAACCAGTCCTCCGTCATGGCAGGGAGTTTAGCTCGTTTTCCCAGCAGGCGCCATATGCTCTCACCTACAGGCAAGTGCTCTGATAGCTTGTCTACATCAGGTCTCTACCTAGAACCCTCCAGGTGGAATCTCTCACCAGCTCAGTAAGAAAACCCCTGCATGATGGGACTAGACAACCTAAACAGGGTAGGGTTCCCTTAGTCCACTTCCCCCCGCCCAGGCCTGTGTTTACAGACAGGCCTTTGAGCCTTGGCACCTGGGGGTGGACTCTGGGTAGTGCTGGGGTTAGAGTAAGGGGTCAGGGTCAGTTTTCTTCTTCCGTCAGGAACCAGCTTCTAGCGGTACCTGTTCCCCTGCCCGGCACTCCAGTTTCTCGCTGAGCCTAATCCTGCCCTGGCCCTAGACAGCTTCCAGCCCAGTTGGCTGTAGATGAGAAACTGGGATCAGATAAAGGGTCTGCAGTCACACCTCTGACACCTACATATTAAGTCACCACACGCACTGGCATCTGCTCAGGGAACCAGGCCCTACGGCCACACCCAACCCATGAAGCTGGCTTCCAGGTCTACTGCTTGTAGTGAGGCAGCTTCACGGCTGGTAGCGCTGCTCTTGGAGGTTGTGGATTTAGGAGGTGGAGCCGCTCGTGCTTGGCAGCCATCAAAACATGAGGCAGCTCATGGGGCTGGAGAGATGGCACAGCACTCACATGGCAGCTCACAATTTTAATTCCAATCTTGGGGACCTGATGCCGTCTTCTGGACTCCAAGGGGAACCAGACACACATTCAGGCAAAACATCAGTGCATAAAAAAAAAAAAAAGAAAGAAAGAAAGAAAAAGGTGTACAGCGTCTCCGCCACATGCTTCCACCACCATGGGCAGCCATGCCTTCCCGCCACGAGGGTGGCATGCACTCCTGCCGAGTCCGAATAAAGCCTGCCTCCGCTGAGTTGCTTTTGTCAGGTTCTGAGTGACGAGCAAAGGTTCTGAGAGTGACTTTAAGGGCCAACAGTCACAAGGCACCACGGACATGGGGAGGAACAAGAGGCCCACCTTGTAGGCTTCGTCGATGTTGGCATCCACGCAGTGCTGGATCATTTCCTTCACAAGCAGCGGGTGGGGCTCGTCACAGACCTGAGCAAACAATCGGGAGACGCAGCATGAGACCTACAAATAATTCCACTAAGTCTCCAACGACTCCTGACAGCTCCAAAATGAATGAACCACAAAGCAGCCAAAGGCCCAAAAGGACTCTTCGTGGGTGGCATTAAAGGCATGGTGATGGCATAGTGGACATGCCTGTGTCCTCAAACTCAGGAAGAGTCCAATAGTGGTGGCACAAACTCTGTCTCAGGAAAAGAAAACAAAACAAAAACCTAAATGACTCCGGAGAATCTCAAGTTCAAGGCCAGTCTGGGCTACAGATTAAGACCCGTCTCTAAAACAAAAAAATTAAGCATGCTTGTGATTCCAGCATGGGTGGGGGTGGGTTCAAGGCCAACCCCTGGATACAAAATCTGAGTCAGTGAAGGAAGGGAGTGGGGAGGGGAGAGGAAGGGAGGACAAAGAAGGGAGTGGGGAGGGGAGAGATGGCTGCCGGAGGACAAGTGACATCAGAGCCTGGCCTACGGCACAGCTGAGGGTGGGAACAGCTCTGCAGGCTCGCCTGGATCTACCCCACAAGACCCTCCCGCTGCTCAGATACGAGCGCTGTGGCGGAAGAACACGGCTGTGTAGGTCGCTCTGCTGCAGACCCCCGGTACCTTGAATACGTTCTCGCTGTTGATATAGCCGAATCCAGAGAAGGTAGACTGCAAGTTGTTCAGTGCCTGGAGGGGACAAGGGATAATCAAGGGGACTATGACGTCTTTCCCTGCCGGGCCTCTCAGAGCCCAAAGCACCTCCAGTAGCTCACACCCCAGCAGGGTGCTAGGTCCTCAGTCTTCCCCAACCTCGGCTCGTAGGAGCAGCGTGCTGGCTAGTCTTATGTCAACCTCGCACACAAACCAGAGTCACCTGAGAGGGAACCTCAAATGAGATCCTCCAAAGATCTGGCTGTGAGGCGTTTCTTAGAGATTGATGGAGGAGATCCAGTCCACTGTGGGTGGCCCACCCCTGGGCTGGTGGTCCCGGGTGTCATAAGAAAGCAGGCTGAGCAAACCACGGGGAACACCAGTAAGCAGCACCCCGCCCGGCTCTGCGTCAGCCCCGCCTCCAGGTCCCTGCTCTGTCTGAGCTCCTGTCCTGACTCCCTTCAGTGACAAGCGGTGATGTGGAAGTGTGAGCCAGACAAACCCTTTCCTCCCCAGCTCCTTTTAGTCACTGTGTTTCATCAGAGCAATAGAAACCCCGACTAAGACAGGCAGCGACGGTCACCCACCAACCTGGCGCATGTCCCCTTGGGCTGTGAAGATAATGGCTTCCAGGCCATCGTCTGTGTACGGCACTTTCTCCTTCTCGATGACATTCATGAGCCTGGTGAGGACTTGAGCATCGGTGAGCTTGGTGTAGCGGAGCACTGCACAGCGTGACTGGATGGGCTCTGGACAGAGACGGGAGAGTGGGGGCTGACAGCTGACCAGAGCCCAGTGTCAAACTACCAGATGAGAAACAAAGGCTTTCCATTTTCCCAGTCCCGCCCATGCTCTGCAGAGGGTTTCTCTGTGTAGGTGCTGCATGTGCGTTTCCTCATGCCCATAAATGCCTGCCTTTAACTACAAATAAATAAATAAGAAAGCACAGGGCCAAGGGTTGGTGGCACACACCCAGCACTCGGGAGGCAGAGGCAGGTGGATCTCTGAGTTCAAGGCCAGCCTGGTCTACAGAGTGAGTTCCAGGACAGACTCCAAAACAATACAGAGAAACTCTGTCTCGAAACACACACACACACACACACACACACACACACACACACACACAAGCAAAGAGGCCTGAGTAACAACACCCAGAACTCTGGAGAGAAAAAGGGCCTCAGGACAGATACTGCCACACACACAAGTACCACACCCCAAGCCCCCAAAAGGAGTTAGGGCCTCTGGAGTTACAGTGCAATGGGTGGGCCCTGCAGGGAAGTTCAGTTCAGTCAGGCTGGGAGGGACTAGAACCCCAACAAGCTCTTTGATGCTCCACAGGGGAGCAAGGCAAGGAGGTGCCTGCCTGTAACCCCAACACTTAGGATTACATAGCTCCTGTAGGGACAGGAAGATCATGAGTTCAAGGTCAACCTCAGCTATAAGGTCAGTTCACCACCACCAAGAATAAAGAGGACAGGGGGCTAGCAAGATGGCTCAGTGGATGAACAACACGAGTTCAAATCTGGGACCCACATATATACTGACTTCTACACATCATTCTCTGCCATCTACATGCAGACACGGCCCCCAACATGCACATGTGCACACACACACAAAATATAATTTTAAAATAAATGGGGGGGGGGGGGATCAGTCAACATTAAGTCATTTGTCCATCTAGGCAGTCATGAATGGTTGGGGGAAGGCACGTGGTGACAAACCTATGTGTGACCACACACACACACACACACACACACACACACACACACACACACACACACACACGGGTACAGCAGGAGGGGAAGGAAGTGGCGTAGAAAAGACCCCACTGCTGGGGATCAACACATCAGACGAGACAGACAACACAACAGGGTGGCCCAGGACGACTCATGCAGTAGGCGGCAGGAGGACGGGACACCAGCCTGACAGGGTAGACCAGTGCTGCGAGCAGCAACTGGGATAACGGCCAAAGGACCCCATAAGGAGACACGGCGGTGAGGTGGAGACCTGGCCACACCGACACAGAGAAGATGCCAAGGCCTCGCACACAAAACAAGCAGAGAATGTTCAAGTCAGGCGGGGCGGCTCAGGCCTGCCATTCCAACAACTCAGGATGCTGACGGAGGAGGAACTTAGAACCTTGTAGGTTCAAGGCCAGCCTGGATAATTTAGGGAAGACCAAGTCTCAAAATAAAAAGTAAAGAGGGCAGGCACAGTTAGTAGCCTTCCTAAAATCCCTGGGTTGCATCTGCAGTACCATAAGAGACAAAAACAAGGTGAGTAAGATGTCTTAGCGGATAAAGACACTTGCCAAGTCTGACCAAGTAGTTCAATCCCTGGGATCCACAGGACAAGAGGAACGAACGCACGCATGCTGGAGCAATGTCTTAGGTTAAAAGGGATCCATAGGACAGGAGGAACACACACGCATGCACGCACGCATGCTGGAGAAATGTCTCAGGTTAAAAGGGAGCCATAGGGCCGGGCATTTGTGGCGCACGCCTTTAATTCCAGCACTCAGGAGGCAGAGGCAGGCAGATCTCTGTGAGTTTGAGGCCAGCCTGGTCTACAAGAGCTAGTTCCAGGACAGCCTCTAAAGCCACAGAGAAACCCTGTCTCCAAAAAACAAAAAACAACAACAACAAAAAAGATAAAAGGGATCCATAGGACAGGAGGAACAGGCACGCATGCACGCACGCGCCAGAAATCTCAGGTTAAAAGTACCTGCTACTATTCCAGAGAATCTGAGCTTGGTTCCTAGCACCCATCATAGGTTGCTCACAGCTGCCTGCAACCCCAACTCCAGGACACATTTACTCAGACAGACAGAATCAAAAGCAAAAAGTAAATAAATAACAAGGGAGCCTCGGGCTGGGGAGATGGCTCAGCATTTAAGAGTCCGGCTGCTCTTCCAGAGGTCTGAGACCAATTCCCAGCACCCACACGGCAGCTCACAGTCATCTATAGTGAGATTCTATGGCCTCTTCTGGCATACAGTCATACATGCAGATAGAGCACTCATACACATAAATTAAACAAAAGGAAGCCTCACTGCACACAGCCACCCAGGCTGCACGCTCACCTATGATTTTGTCTGAAGCATTACAAGCCAGAGCGAAGCGGGTTGTCTTGGAGTAGATTTCCATGGTTCTCCTGAGGGCCTGCTGAGCTCCATCCGTCATGCTGAGGCAAGCAGAAGAGGGTGGTTGGTGCCAGGCCTGGGGCATGGCCCCACCATCCCTCCTGTTCTGGAGGCAGAAGCAGGAGGACAGTCTGGGCTACTTGGGGACATCCATCTGCAGTCCCCACCTGTCTGCTTCATCCAGAATGATGATCTTGTGTCGGCCCTTGGGAAGGGTGACTTTCTGCTGGGCAAACATTTTGATTTTATTTCTCACCACATCAATGCCCCTGAAACAGGAAGAAAGCATGTATCACAAAGGGAAGAAATTTTTTTATTATCATTGGGGAGGTGCTCTCGTGACAATTTTATTTTTTGTATCTTTTTTTTAGATTTATTTATTTATTATGAATGCAACACCCTGCCTTCATGCATGCCTGCATGCCAGAAGAGGGCACCAGATCTCATTATGGATGGTTGTGAGCCACCATGTGGTTGCTGGGAACTGAACTCAGGACCTCTGGGAGAGCAACTGGTGCTCTTAACCTCTGAGCCATCTCTCCAGCCCAAAACATGATTTTTCTTTAAAATTTAAAATTTTTATTTTTGGTTTTTTTGAGACAGGGTTTCTCTGTGGTTTAGGAGGCTGTCCTGGAACTAGCTCTTGTAGACCAGGCTGGTCTCGAACTCACAGAGATCCGCCTGCCTCTGCCTCCCAAGTGTTGGGATTAAAGGCGTGCGCCACCGCCCGGCTCGTGACAATTTTAAAGACCCAGTTTTTGCCTGCAGAACCAGGGCTCTCAGGCTGGCGCGGCAGGGGTGTTATCCTCTGAGCCATCTCTGGTCCTATTTTACTTTTAACGTGTATGTGTGAATGCAGGCCATGTGCAGATGGGTGTCTGTAGAGACGAAGGTGTCAGAAGTCTTGGAGCTGGGTTCTGAGCAGCTGTGAGCTGCCCGATGCAGGGGCAAGGAGAGGAATTCTGGGCCTCTGCAAGAGCAGCATATTCTTTTCTTTTGTTTGTTTTTCAAGACAGGATCTTTCTGTGTATCCCTGGCTGTCCTGGAACTCACTCTGTAGACCAGGCTGGCCTCAAACTCAGAGATCTGCCTGCCTCTCTGCCTCCAGAGTACTAGGATTACGGGCATACATCACATGTTCCTTTTCTTTTTTTGGTGGCTGGAGAGACAGCTGTGGGTGCTGGGAACCAAACTCATATTTTTGGTTGTGAGCCATCTCTCCAGCAAACACCACATGTTCTTAATTGCTGGGCAATCTCTCCAGCCCCATATTTTATTTTTTGACAGAGTCTTTATATGGCACCTGGGCTGACCTGGAACTCAACCTTAGCCTTGCCAGTGCTGGGATTTCCCACACACCACTCCGAGTTCACAAGGGGCTCCTAAATCCTCCTTATAGCCCCGAGGGCTGCGGGACCTAAGTTTAACCTGAGAACATGAGCTAACAGCCAATCACACAGACCAGAAGCTGGGCTGTGGCTGTGAGGGCTGCAGAAGGGAAACGGGGAGGTGCTTGAGGGCAGTTTCAGTTTTGCAAGGCCAGAAAGCTGTTGCACAATAACACAAACATGACGAAGTGGACACTTAAGAGTGGTTTCAGGGGCGGTGAGACGGCACAGTGGGTAAAGGTACCTGCTGGCAGATCACGACAACCTGAGTTCAATCCCCAGAACCCCACATAAAGGTAGAAGAAACAAACAAACGAACAAAAACCCAAGGAATTCCACACGACTACATTCTGATCTTCACACGTGTGCCATTGTGTGCTCGTGTTGTGGGCAGGGGTGGTTCTCACTGCCAACTCTCAAAACCTGAGTTGATCCTTAGGACCCACTTGGTAGAAGGAGAGACCACTCCCAGCAAGTTGTCCTCTGACATCCGCCTGTAGACCACGGCATACGCCCCTCCCCACAATAACTACACAGCAACAAAAACAAATGTTTAGGCCGGGCAATGGTGACGCAAGTCTTTAATCCCAGCACTCGGGAGGCAGAGACAGGCGGATCTCTGTGAGTTTGAGACCAGCCTGGTCTACAAAAGCTAGTTCCAGGACAGGCTCCAAAGCCACAGAGAAACCCTGTCTCAAAAAACAAAACAACAACCAATTTTAAAAAGAGTAAGTTTTGAACATTTTCATCAAAACGAGGAACCCAGCAGATGCTCCTCTGATACTCCAAGGCAATGATCCCCCGTTAAATGTGGAGCCAGCGAAGCAAGCGCCAGGCAGGAGCTGGAACCACCTGGAGCCTCCACACTCACGCACAGCAGGAGGCCTCTGCCTTCCCACCCACGTACCTGTCATTTGATGCATTGAGCTCCAGAACTGCATCCTTCAGGGCCGGGCCTAGCAGCGCTCTTGCCAAGCAGAGGATGCTGGTAGTCTTGCCAGTTCCTGGGGGACCCTGTGGGTAAGAGCCCCCCTAACTTTCATACAGGAAGGACCCAGGGGCTGGAGAGACGGCTCAGCAGTTAAGAGCACTGGCTGCTCATCCAGAGGACCTGGGTTACATCACCACTACCCGGACCCCCAGGGCAACAGACGTTCACACAGTAGACAAGCACAGATGCAGGCAAAACACCCACACACACAATCAACCAACCAGTTAATTAATCAATTAATTGACTAGAAAGGATTCCCAAGTAGACCTTGCTGCTCCCACAACTCCCCACTGTTGGCACTTGCTCCTGATTCCCCAACAACCCAGCTGGGGACCTGTGGGCCTCCCAGGGGAGGGAGTGGACATTGGATGCAAGAGACCCAGAGGACCAGGCCCAAGTACTCACAGCGATGATGATATTGGGCACATTGCCTTCTTTTGCAAAGACCTGTGTACAAGAGATTCATAAGTCAAGTGTGGTGGTACATGCCTCTAATCTCAGGGAGGTCAAGGGAGGAGGAACAGGAACTCAAGGCCAGCTCAGGCTACGTATCAAAACCCTGTCTGGAAGACAGATAGCCCAGGTGTGGTGGCACACTTGTTGAATCCCAGCACTTGAGAGGCAGAGGTAGGTGGATCTCTGTGAATTAGAAGCCAGCCTGGTCTACATAGAAAGTTTCAGGACAGCCAGGGCTACGTAATGAGTAATATGCTCAAACACACAAACAAGATCCCAAAACCAACAACAAAAAACGGGGCCGGCAAGCTGGCTCAGCAGATAAAGGTACTTGCAAAGGCTAAGAAGCTGAGTTAGTCATCCATTACCAGGCCCCTGGCACTGGGAGGGAACCAACTCTGCCCTCCACTGAAGTAGGAAGACCCACCCTCAATGCGGGCAGCATTCTCCCATGGGGTCCCGGCCTCAGTGAAAAGGAGAACGCCGGCTAAGTGAGCAGCAGCCTCTACCTCCCTGCTCCCAGTCTGTGGATGCAGCGTGGCCAGCTGCCTCACATTCCCACCGCCATGCTCCTTCCCAACAGGATGAACTGTGGCCTCAGACTGTGAGCTAAAGCCAAACGAACTCTTCTTGGTTTCAGTTCTGTTCATCAGGTACTTCGTCATTCCCGTGAGGAATAGCTGATGGAACCTCCTTCAACATCTCCGCCATCTTTCTCCCAATGCCACGAGCTTGTCAAATGCACAGTATGATGTCAGAGGGGTTTACGGGCCCCTTACCTCCAGCCTGCTCACTGTGTCTTCATTGCCGACTATTTCGTTGAGCTTTATTGGCCTGTATTTTTCAACCCTGTTTGAGGAAAAAGCAAGTATTGACATGGTTATCCTCACACCAGATAATGTGAGGACACGGCAGGAAAGGGCAACCCTGCAACTTCTGGCAGGGTGGGGCCATGTTGCCTGTAATGCCAACACAGAGAGGCCGTGCCAGGAGGACCCCCCCCCAAGAGTTCCAGGCCAGCCTCTACCACATACACAACCTGCCTCAAAAACAAAGAAATAAGAAGCCAGCCAGCTGGCTCAGCATGTAAAGGCACTCACAGCAGAGCCAGGGAGCCTTGGTTTAATCCCCAGAACCAGGGGGTGGAGGAACAGTGATGCCTGTGTGCACCGTGGGACTTGTATGCATGGCACATACACCCACAGAATAAATAATCATGGGCTGGAGAGATGCTCTTCCAGAAGACCCAGGTTCGATTCCCAACACCCACAGGGCAGCTCACACCTGTCTGTAACTTCAGTTCCAGGGGATCTGACACCCTCACACAGCAGGGAGAACACCAATGCACACTAAAAAATTTTTTAAAACCATCCAGGCATGGTGGCAGAAATCTGCAATCCTAGGTATGGTGGGGGTGGGAGCAGGAGGTTCAGAAGTTTAAAGTTATCCAACTACATAACAAGTTCCATGCTGGTCTGGGCTAAATGAGACACTTCTAATAAGTTAAGAAAGGATGTGCTAGAGAAATGACTCAGTGCTGAGAGCACTTGCTGTTGTAGAAGACCTGAGTTTGACTTCTAGCATTCAACAGTGGCTTACAACCTCCTGGAACTGTAATTCCAAGAGACACAATGCCCTCTCCTGGCTTCTTCATGTACTGCATGCACACAGTACCCAGAAATACACACAGACAACACACACAGAAAATAAATCTTTAAAAAAAAAAAAAAAAAAAAAAGGAGCCGGGCGTTGGTGGCGCACGCCTTTAATCCCAGCACTCGGGAGGCAGAGGCAGGCGGATCACTGTGAGTTCGAGACCAGCCTGGTCTACCGAGCAAGTTCCAGGACAGCCTCCTAAAGCCACAGGGAAACCCTGTCTCAAAAAACCAAAAAAAAAAGGGCCAGGCATTGATGGTGTACACCTTTAATCCCAGCACTCGGGAGGCAGAGGCAGGCGGATCTCTGTGAGTTCCAGGCCAGCCTGGTCTACAGAGCAAGTTCAGGACAGCCAAGGCTACACAGAGACGAGAAACCCTGTCTCAAAAAAAAAAAAAAAAAAAAAAAAGCAAACAAAACAAACACCCCAAAAAATAGAAACAAAAAAGGAGTCAGCAAGATGGCTCAGTGGGTAGGTGCTTGCTGACAGGCCTGACCATGAGTTCCATCCCTGCACCACGTGGTAGAAGAAACTACTAAAAGTTGGTCCCCGACCCCTATGAAAGTGGTATGGCAGATGCAAGACCCTCCCATAAAGAAAGGCAAAAAGAAAAGGCTTTAAACAAAAAGCCAACAGAACAGCCCCTTCACTGTCCACTCCGCACAGCAGAGGGACTACAGCGTAAGCGGTGGCTTCTGTCTAGCCAGCTCTGATGCACAGTATTGCAGAGGCTGGTGGGTGTGCAGTGATGGACCCAGGTGCACCCATTTCTGCCACACCAAATGAGGTAAGTGCTGGCCCACAGTGCGCTACTGTTCCAGATGGCCTACTCTTGCCTCCATCTAGCAGCAACTGGTGGCTTGGGGCTATGACTGGGAAGCTTGTGTGGACAATTCTTTTTTTGTTTTTTCGAGACAGGGTTTCTCTGTGGCTTTGGAGGCTGTCCTGGAACTCACTCTGTAGACCAGGCTGGCCTCGAACTCACAGAGATCTTCCTGTCTCTGCCTCCCAAGTGCTGGGATTAAAGGCTTGTGCCACCAATGCTTGGCGTGTGGGCAGTTCTTAAGCAATTTTGGAAAGGCACTTGGGGGGAGGTGCTGGAGAGATGGCTCAGAGGTTAAGAGCACTGGCTGATCTTCCAGAGGACCTGAGTTCAACTCCCAGGAACCACATGGTGGCTCACAGCCATCTGTAATGAGATCTGGTACTCTCTTCTGGCCTGCCGGCATGCATACTGTATACATAATAAATAAGTAAATCTTTAAAAAACAAAAGAAAAGAAAAAGGCACTTGGACACTTCACTAAAACATCATTCCCTTGCAGTTGGAGAGATGGCTCAGAGGTTAAGAGTGCTGGCTGCTCTTCCAGAGGACCCAGGTTCAATTCCCAGCACCCACACAGCAGCTCACAATGATCTTTCACCTCCAGTTCCATACTCCATAGACATAAATTAAAAACAAAAACCACTGTGCCTATTTGGACTCTATTTATTTATAGATAGGGTCTCATGAAGGCTAGCTTGGAACTCCTGATCCTTCAGCCTCTGCTACCCCACCCCATCCCTGTACTAGAATGACAGGTATCACTACGTCGGAGTTTATGGTGCTGGGAGGGACATGTGGGTTTTCGGAAAGGCAGGCAAGCATCCTATCAACGGGGCCACATCTCCAGATGGCCCGGAACTCATGATCCTTCTATCTCAGCCTCCTGACCACCAAGTTCTGCCTTTCAAATAAACACGCAATGTTAAGAGAGAAAATGACCTTTCCCAGCTCTGGGTACAGATGTGGTAGATTTACAATTATCTGACCATCAAAGTTTTATTTTATTCTGTTGATCTTTCTTTCTCTCTGTTTTCAGAGTCAAGGTTTCACCAAGTGGTCCTTGCCCGACTGGAACTGCCTATGTAGACCAGGATGGTCCACCAACTTCTGCCTCCTGAATGCTTTACACTGTTTTCTTTTCTTTTTTCTTTTTTGGTTTTTCGAGACAGGGTTTCTCTGTGGCTTTGGAGGCTGTCCTGGAACTCGCTTGGTAGTCCAGGCTGGCTTCGAACTCACAGAGATCCACCTGCCTCTGCCTCCTGAGTGCTGGGATTAAAGGCGTGCACCACCAACGCCCGGCTACACTGTTTTCTTTAAGTTTATATACATACGTGTTTATCATTTGTGTGTTCCACAGAGAACAACCTTTGGGAGTCAGTGCTCCCCTTCCCACATTTGGAATCCAGGGATTAAGCTCAGGTTGCCGAGCTTGGCTGCAAGCACTGTTCTCACCGAGCCATTTCACTGGGACTTGTTTTTGGAGACGAGGACACATTTAGCCCAGGCTGGCCTCAAGTTCATTACGTGGCTGATAATGACCTAACAGGTGTATGCTACGCCATTCGGATACCCATTATTTCCTTGGCTCCCAGATAGTGCTAAACTACATACACGATACATGGTGAGCTCTCTCCCCACCTCCCCGAGTGCTGGGGATGGAACCCTAGGCCCTGGGCATGCCAGGCAAGAATTCTGCCCCTGAGCCACACTCCCAGTTTCCATGATATACTCTTAGTATTCGTCTAGAACAACGGTTTCTCAATCTATGGGTCATGACCCCTCGGGGACTGTCAAACGACCCTTTTCACAGGGGGCACCATATTTACACTATGATTCTTAACAGCAGCAAAATTAGTTATGAGGTAGCAAGGAAATAATGTTATGGTTGGGGTCACCGCACCATGAGGAACTGTATTAATGGGCTGCAGCATTCGGAAGGTAGGGAACCACTGCACTAGATAGTCCAGATACTTCAGTGAGCTAAGGGATCTCTCTGCTGTCTCGTGCAACAGACCTTACATTTGATAAGGAAAAAAGTGCCAGGGGTAGGTTCATGTTCAAATGTCTGCAATCATTTCCATCCAAAAACAAGACTAAGAGTGGTGGTCCACACCTGAGCCCCTGTACACAGGTAGGACCAAAATTTAAGGTCATTCTTGGCTATGTATAAAGCTCAAAGCTGGCTTAGGGTAGGGAGACCTGTCTTAAGGAGAAGAAAACTATGTGGCCCTACTCTTCAAGCCCACTCCTCACTTAGACAGCCGGACCCTGAGACACATCCCTCAATGTCCATCAATACAAATTTCTACCGCTGCCCGGGGTAGCTCACACCTGTCATTCCAGCGCTAGGGAAGCTGAGGCAGGAGGACTGCTGAATGTTGGAAGAAAAGCCCGGCTTGCACGGTGAGCCCCAGGGCTGAGAATGGCACTGGGGACTTGCTTAGCACGCAGGAGGCCCTGTGTTCCATCCCCAGCACTGCCTTAAGGCAGTAAGGCATGCCTGTTATCCGGATCAAAGGCTTCCTCTGCTACGTGGTGGGTTCCAGACCAGCCTGGGTTACGCAAGACCCCGTCTTAAGAGAAACAAAGTGAAAAAAAGAGAAAGGAAAAGGAGATCTGGACTCCCGGGGCCGACCGGACCTCAGTGTCGTCCCCCCAGACCCAGCGGGGAGCCGGGTCCCTGGAGCTCGGCCCGCCCTCACTCGCCATCACCTCTACGCGCGCGTTTAGTACGGCCGCGCGCTCACCACGGCAGCTCGTAGTGGCCGGCGCCGCCCGCGGTCTTGCTGGGGACGGGTGAGGGCTCCTGCGCCCCAGTCTCGGCCGCGCCACTGCCGCTCTCCTGCACCTCCATTCCCGCGCCCGTTCTTCCCGCCGCCCGAGGCTCCGCCCCGTGACGTTTCCACGGAAGTCCCGACCCTGGTTTCCGGGCGACGCGGGGAGGGGAGCGGAAGCGGGAGAGCGAGAGAAGGGCTATTTCTTCCCGCGCCTGCGCAGAGAGAGTAGCGTCGCCACGCACTGGCCGCTAGAGGCCGCTGTGGCTACAGGAGACCGCGTTAAGGGGCCAGGAAGGAGAGGATGGTGTGATCAAGGGGGATGGGACTTTTGTGTCATCTCATCATATTTTAACTAATTGTATTCTGTTTCGTTTCGTTCTGTTTTATTTTTCACTTTTTGGGCTTCTTGAAATTGAGTATTATTGCTCAGTAACTCAGCCTGATCTCAAACTAGCAGCCATCCTCCTGCCTCAGCTTCCTCAGGCAGTAGTATTACTTATTTTAGTATTAGTTCATACACGCGAGTGTTTTGCTTGCATACACGTATGTGCACCACACGCATGCCTTGTATGTTGGATCCCCTGGAGCTGGAGTTGGACTCCTGTGATCTGTCATGTGCGTGCTGAGAATCAAATCCAGGTCTCTGCAAGTCTCTAGTATCCTTTTTTTTTTTTTTTTTTGGTTTTGTTTTGTTTTTGTTTTTTTGATACTGGATTTCTCTGTGTAGTCCTGAGGGTCTTGTTAGTAACCCTGGCTGTCCTGGAACTGGCTCTGTAGACCAGGCTGGCCTCGAGCTCACAGAGATCCGCCTGCCTCTGCAGTGTTGAGATTAAAGATACTTTCTAGACCCACGCTTGGTGGCAGAGCCCTTTAATTCCCACACTCGGGAACAGAAGCACCTGTATGTTTTCGAGTGCAAGGTCAGCCAGAGCTATGCATAGTGAGACCTCCATCGCAAAAATTCAAAACAATAAAGCAAAAACTAAAGATACTTCCTGGCCAGGCACGGTGGCACACACCTGTCATCCTAACACTAAGGAGACAGAAGCAGGAGGATAGTGAGTTCTAGACCAGTCTGGGACTACATAGAGGCAGACACCACCTCAATAAAACAACAACAGAAAAGCTGACAGCAGCCCACATACCGCAGCACTTGGGTAATGGAGGCCAGCCTGAGACGCACGAGATTTCATCTCAGGGAAATAGCAGGGCTTGTGTCAGAAATCCTGGGTTCAACCACCAGTACCACATCGAGGGGGGAGCGGGGGAGTCCCCCAAGGTGGCATTTTTCAAGCGTTGAAGCTGGTGATTTCCAAATGAGCTTACCCTACGGTTAGCAAACTCAGCAGACTGCTCGTTTACATATGAGCTTGTCTGCCTGTCTAGACACATTCCACCAAGCACCTCTGGTAAGCACAAAGGTTTTCATTTGAACCCTTTAGTAGAACATTAGCGGTTTTGAATTGCTTGCCTTGCTTTTGGTTATTGTCATTGTTGTTGAGTCAGAGTCTGTCTATGGAGCCCTGGCTGACCTGGACTCACTATGTAGACCAGGCTGGACTTGAACTCACAGAGCTTCCCCTGCCCCTGCCTCTGCAGTGCTGAGATTAAAGGCTGCATCACCACTCCTGGCCATGCTTTGCCTTTTTGCTTCCCCTTTAATAATAAGAAAGCAAGGAGAGAACTTCCCCAGATGGGCACAGAGGACAGATTTTATGTCCCAGGATGTGGGGTGACCTTTAAGATCTCAACTGTGGGGGTCTGTGGCCCCTGTACTGCACAGGCTGATCATTGAGCTCTTGAGTGTCTTTACTTTTGTTTTGGGTCTGTTGACATTCCTCCTGTCCTCAGTGAGCATGTCTCCACTGACCCTGCTGTGACCACTTCATCTGTTCAACAAGGGACCAGTGCATCCAGCTCAGACGGATAAGGTGTGTCTCGCCTCATGACTCCCTCTGCAAATGATTGATGAGAGGCAGGGATGCTCTTTCTCCCTCTTCCTCTCCCTCTCCCTCTCCCTCTCTCTCCCCCTCTCTTTCTCTAAGACAGGGTCTTATGTAGCCCAAGCTGGCCTCAAACTCCCTATGTCAGCTAGCTTGGCCCGAACTTTTTTCCCCAGCCTTGAACGTCTTATCCCTCTGCCTCTACCTCTGGAATTCTGGGATTACAGACGTGAACCACACCTAGTTGCTGCCCCCACCTTGTCAGTTTGTAAGTTTGTACTTCTTCACTCAGAATTTTGCTTCTAGAGACAGACTCCTTTCACAGAAATGTTTGTATGAGGGTTGGTAGGGTGGCTCAGTGGGTAAAGGTGCTTGCCGACAAGCCTGAGGGACCCAGGTTCAATCCTCAGTATTCTCATGGTTGCAAGGAGAGAATACACTCCTGCAAGCTGTCCTCTGACCCACATCGTGCTATGGTACATGCATATGTGGGGGACACACACGTGAACACACATACATGCACACACAAAAATGAGAATAATGCTTGCATAGATGCACACAGATATATGTATTAGAATGTTCATTAAAATGGCTCAGGGAGAAAGAGAAATCAAAACAAGCATCCATTAGTAGTAGAACGGGTAGAGAAATGGTATTCATAATATACAGTCACTAAAAACTGAAAAGCATCTGTCTACCTGCACTGACAGGAAAAGGTCTCCATCACTCGCCAAAAAGAAGGTCACAGAGGGACTAGGAGTGCAGCTCTGAGGTACAGTACCTGCCTAGAATCCCCCAGTGAGGGGCTGGGGTGTGGCTCAGTGATAGAGCACCTGCCTAGTATCCCCCAGGGAGGGATTTGGGAGTGTGGCTCAGGGGTAAACCATTTGCCTAGAATCCCAGACTGACCTCAAAGTAACTATGTAATTTAGGATGGCTGGAACTTTTGATCTTTTCGCTTCTTGCTCAGATGTGCCAGGATTACAAGTGTGTAGCACTGCACACATGCACATACCCTTTTAAGACTTCTTTTTATTTTTGTGTCTATGTCTGCATGTGGTCTGACTGGAGTTGTGCAGCTGTGGGGTGGGGGTGTGCCCTGTGGGGTGGGGGTGTGCCCTCCGATGCCACAAAAGGAAATCTATCCTCTGGAGCTCGAGTTGCAGACAGTTAGGAACCAAGTGCTAAACTTGGGTCCTCTACAAGAGCTGCAAGTAGCCTTAACCCTGAGTCAGCTTTCCAGCTCTCTCTCTTCCTTAAGATTTATTTTATTATTATTTTAAAGTGTGTGTGTGTGCATATGAGTGTATATATGCATATGTGCATATGAGTGTGTGTATGTATGTGTGTGTGCGTATGAGGGTGTATATGCATGTGTGCATTTTAAAGTGTGTGTGTGCATATGAGTGTGTGTATGCATGTGTGTGTGTGTGTGTGCATGTGTGCGCACATATGAGTGCAGTTGCCCTTGGAGGCCAAAGGCATTGGAGCCCATGGAGCTGGAATTTCACACGGTTGTGAGCTGACTCATGTGCTGGCAATAGGACTCAAGACCTCTGCAAGCTCTTACCACTGGGCCAGCTCTCCAGCTGCCCAGCCCTTTTTTTTTTTTTTTTTTTTTTTTTTTTGGTTTTTCGAGACAGGGTTTCTCTGTAGCTTTGGAGGCTGTCCTGGAACTCACTTTGTAGACCAGGCTGGCCTCGAACTCACAGAGATCTGCCTGCCTCTGCCTCCCGAGTGCTGGGACTGCCCAGTCCTTTTTAAAGTCCTGCTGGGCACCAAACCCAGGGTTTCATGCATCCTCGACTGCCCTGTAATCCAGGAGCCCCACCCCATCACCTAGGCCGATAGTTCTTGTGTATAGAATTCTTTCTGATCCCAGGAATCTCTGTGTGTGGGCTTCATTATCTTTAGACTCCTCAGTGAGCCCTTTGGCGGAGGAGTCCTGGCCTGCCCAGGCATGTGCGCACACAGGGACCCATTCACTCACCACCTTCTGTGCTGCCCTGGGGGTGAGCATTCCAAGAAGGCTGTGTCTGACAGGAAGTAATGTTTTCCTCATACCTAGCTTGTTAGGTGCAGGGTATAAGCTGTAAACCTTGGCCACTCTTCCAGATCCCCAACAGACTTCAATTTCGGTGCCTTTTTCTTTTTGCCTTTTGTAAGTAGGTCTTACTATGTAGTCCAAGGTGACTTCACAATTGCAACCCTTCTGCCTCCATATCCTGAGCAGACAGAATGCCAGCCTGCGTCTGATTATGTTTCAGGCGACTGTCTTGGGTACGTGATGGAGCAAACAGGCTGAGGGCTGAGCTCAAAGGGAAAAAAAAAAAAAACCAAAAACATTAATACAAAGGACTTATAGGGTCTGGAGAGATGGCTCAGAGGTTAAGAGCACTGCCTGCTCTTCCAGAGGTCCTGAGTTCATTCCCAGCAACCACATGTTGGTTCACAACCATCTGTAATGAGATCTGGTGACCTCTTCTGGCCTGCAGGTAAACATGTAGGCAGAACAGTGTATGTATACATGATAAACAAATAAATAAATCTTTTTAAAAAAAAGGACTTATAGCCCTCACTGAAGTGCCAGCTACTCAAGTGGCTAAGACAGGGGGATGGCGAGTTCAAAGCCAGCCTGGTCACCTTAGCCAGGTCCAGCTCAAAACTCCAAGGTGATAGCTGGCAGGATGGATCAGTGGGTGGCGTTTGATCCCATGGGCCCACATGGTGGAAGGGGAGACGTGACCCCACTCCCATGCTTTGGTGTATGCACACATACATGTAGATAAGAGTTACCTAAATAGGCAAGCGATGAAAAGGCGTGAGGACTGGGCTCTGGGTAGAGCTCCTTGCCTGTCACCACCCAGAGAGGAGCTGGGGGCATGGCTCAGGAGTCGAGCATTTGCCCCAAGCTTCATCCTCAAACAAGACACACACATACTCACTCATGGCTGGGCTTACAGCTTGATAAGCCTGGCCATCAACCAAGATTTGTTGCCCGTCCCATTTCACATGTTATTAGACACTTGGAGAGTTCTGTCCAGGAACTGATTTCCAGTTCTAACTTTCCCCGGTGTACGCCACCAGAGCCCAGTGCACCACCACTAAGTGTATCCCAACTTTCTTCTCTCCCCTTTTATTTTTCTTTTTATACGTGCATTTTTGTCCACATGTATGTGTGC